ATTGACATGACTTGCAATAAATAAACAAATACTTCACTCAAGTACAAAAAAAATCAAAAACAAAGACGTTAAAAATATAAAAATGGGAAATGCTAAATTTGTGATGAGAAGATGTGAGGAAAGGGAAAAAGAAAATGAACATGAAAAGGAAATCCATGGATACGGAGAATAGTCAGAAAGAGCAGAACGAAGCTAACTCTGGTGTTTGCTAGCCATCCAAATTAAGTGCTGTTCGCCCAGGAGAGGGCATCTAACTAATAAGAACCCACCTGATTGGGGAAATGGGTGAAGGGCTCCATTTGATTTGTCAAAAACATCATCCTTCCATTTGATGGACAAAATGCATTTATGTGTAGCAAGTAATTAAGCTTACCATTCATTGCGATTTCTCTGTTCTTTGATATACGCGAAAGAATGCTGATATTGCGATGTCGATACATTTGCAATGTATTGTGCAGCTCTAATATTTAATACAAAGTTTAAATTAGTGGAACAAATGGGTGTGAAATTACATGAGTTAGTAGCTTTAGGAAAACACAGAAAACCTGTAATTCAGTTAACATTAAGAGACAAACTGTTTCTGACTTAAGTAAATTAGAAAATTCATTCAATTCATCAAAACTTTATTCAGTTGTACTGAAATCAATGTGTTGGTATGCCATTTATTATTATAAATGTATTTTTAATCACCCAACTGCACAACTATTTGTTTCTCAAGTATGATCTGTATTTAAAAGTACAAATACACACCTCTTGTTTCATTACCAGAGTGAACAAGGCTATGAGGGTCAAACTGAGCAGCACAATCATTCTTTTTTGCAGCGCCGTTGCAAACAGGCTGTTTTAATCAATAAAAGTTAACATTTTCTGAACAATTTGATAAACTACACAAATGTGCATGCACTATGTACAGGTCCTTCTCAAAAATTAGCATATTGTGATAAAGTTCATTATTGTCTGTAATGTACTGATAAACATTAGACTTTCATATATATTAGATTCAATACACACAACTGAAGTAGTTCATGCCTTTTATTGTTTCTAATATTGATGATTTTGACATACAGCTCAAGAAAACCCAAAATTCCTATCTCAAAAAATTAGCATATCATGAAAAGGTTCTCTAAACGAGCTATTAACCTAATCATCTGAATCAACTAATTAACTCTATACACCTGCAAAAGATTCCTGAGGCTTTTACAAACTCCCAACCTGGTTCATTACTCAAAACCGCAATCATGGGTAACACTGCCGACCTGACTGCTGTCCAGAAGGCCATCATTGACACCCTCAAGCAAGAGGGTAAGACACAGAAAGAAATTTCTGAACAAATAGGCTGTTCCCAGAGTGCTGTATCAAGGCACCTCAGTGGGAAGTCTGTGGGAAGGAAAAGATGTGGCAGAAAATGCACCACAACCAGAAGAGGTGACCGGACCATGAGGATGATTGTGGAGAAGGACCGATTCCAGACCTTGGGGGACCTGCGGAAGCAGTGGACTGAGTCTGGAGTACAAACATCCAGAGCCGCCGTGTACAGGCGTGTGCAGGAAATGGGGTACAGTAGAGCTGCTGGACTATGGCAAAAATAATAATCACGATTATTGTGACTGAAGTTGAGATCTCGATTATTTAAGACGATTTTTCAATTTATGTTGATTTTATTTGTTTTTATTCAGTCGTAAAATTGTTCAGGGCACAATCAGGGCAAAATTAAATAAGAAACAAGATGATCACTAAAAGAACTCCTGATTCCCAGTATAAAAAAGACTAATATACTTATAGCTCATGGTCTATGACCCAAGGGCTATAGACCTTGGTTTAACTCATGTAAGTCTAACCAGTACAGACCCAAATACCAATATCTTGCAAATACTGACAGCAAGAATTATGCAGTGGCATTTATAACAAATACATGCAAATAAATTGATGTTCACAAAATGTTGCATAACATTTATTGAGTCGTGTCAAGGTGCTGTAGGAGAGTGCACTAGCACCGTGTCCTCAGAGAGATTAGTTATCAGCGTGAGGAACTTATTTCTACCTTATTTATAAACTATTTATTTACAAGTCCATCAGTTAATGTAATAATTGTCCCAACCACAGCTGCACCCCCCAACCCGGTCTCACAACAATCGGGGGCAAACTGCACGTGTGTTTAGCGTGCCGTACATGCACATTTAGCCGTTTTTAGTGGCTCAGGAGTCCGCAGGTACGGTGTGTGTCACACACTCTGGTTACTCCAACATGGAGCCAGCTCTGAGAGCCGTTTCTTTAGCGACCGACACATTACTACATCATTCCCTTTCCTAATGTCCTGAAGAACGGTCCGGAGCGCAGGCGGAGTTTTTAGCTAACCTGCAGGAAATGTCAACGACAGTTATCCAGAAAGTAGCTAAGGGCTACCAGAGATGTTTCTGAGGTGTTCGCTAGGTACTTTTAACATTTAAAAGGTCAAGAAGGGGGTCTGAAAAGCTGTTAGAAATAGCGTCAAAGTCGCTAAGTTGGCAACACTGTGGGAGGAGCGCTTCATTTGCAACTCAGGGCAGCGCAAGTGGGAGGAGCAAATAATCATCTTGCTTTGTTTTTATAATCGTTCAAAACTCAGATCGTAATTGGAATTAAAATTCGATTAATTGAGCAGCCCTAGGCTACAGGTGCTGCATTCCCCAGGTGAAGTCTCCTTTGAACCAGAAACAGCGGCAGAAGCACCTGACCTGGGCTACAGAGAAGCAGCACTGGACTGTTGCTCAGTGGTCCAAAGTACTTTTTTCAGATGAAAGCAAATTTTGCATGTCATTCGGAAATCAAGGTGCCAGAGTCTGGAGGAAGACTGGGCAGAGGGAAATGCCAAAATGCCTGAAGTCCAACGTCAAGTACCCACAGTCAGTGATGGTCTGGGGTGCCATGTCAGCTGCTGGTGATGGTCCACCGTGTTTTATCAAGGGCAGGGTCAATGCAGCTAGCTATCAGGAGATTTTGGAGCCCTTCATGCTTCCATCTGCTGAAAAGCTTTATGGAGATGAAGATTTCATTTTTCAGCACTACCTGGCACCTGCTCACAGTGCCAAAACCACTGGTAAATGGTTTACTGACCACGGTATTACTGTGCTCAGTTGGCCTGCCAACTCTCCTGACCTGAACCCCGTAGAGAATCTGTGGGATATTGTGAAGAGAAAGTTGAGAGACGCAAGACCCAACACTCTGGATGAGCTTAAGGCCGCTATCGAAGCATCCTGGGCCTCCATAACACCTCAGCAGTGCCACAGGCTGATTGCCTCCATGCCATGTCGCACTAAAGCAGTCATTTCTGCAAAAGGATTCCCGACCAAGTATTGAGTGCATAACTGAACATAATTATTTGAAGGTTGACTTTTTTTGTACTAAAACCACTTTTCTTTTATTGGTCGGATGAAATATGCTAATTTTTTGAGATAGGAATTTTGGGTTTTCATGAGCTGTACGCCAAAATCATCCATATTAGAAACAATAAAAGGCTCGAACTGCTTCAGTTGTGTGTAATGAATCTAATATATATGAAAGTCTAATGTTTATCAGCACATTACAGAAAATAATGAACTTTATCACAATATGCTGATTTTTTGAGAAGGACCTGTGTATTTCCCCACCTAAACAGAACAATTTGCAAATTGTGTTCCTGTAAAAATAAACTACCTCTCTAGTTCTATGTGGAACTGAGCCTTTTCATAAAGGAGGAAGCAGGCAAAGAGGAAGAATCGTTCACCTAAAAGGGAAACAAAGGGACTTAGCTGTGTGCACTGCACAGAGGAAGGTGAAGAGAAGATGCAATACTGTGAAAGAACGATAAATGAAAGCTGTGCAGACTGAGAGGTGATATATGAATAGGTGAAAACGGGAACAGAGAGCACAAAAAAAGTGGAGGGTGAAAAAGTGAGGGCATCTCAGGGTGCTATCTCACACACACAGCTTTGACACATCTACCCTTCAATCAAAACTGAGCCTATCTATCCATATGACTGCTGTGCTTTTTGAATAATGGACCCAATATGAAGCAAGTCACTGAGATGATTTGGCTGTCTGATGGGGGTCATGGGGTTCCTGCCCGAGAGCAGTGCAGGGAATCAACAGCAGTCAAAAAAAATCACAAGACTGGGTCATTTGCATTTTACACTCACAGCCAAATTGGAAATGGCTGGTGTCTGCTCCTGTCTGGACCATCTCAGCTCATATCAGATACGCTTTTAATTTTTCATACAGCACTTATGCAGAACTGGACCTTTGTGGCTTGCAGTAATTTCCCAAGACTTTGGAATTTAGAAATCTTTCTTTCACAAAATAAAAATGGACAATTTTCTAATAACTTCAAGGAAAACTGTTATGAAAGTAATGTTTCATAAAAATGTCATCCTCCCCCTCTACTGTAGTTCATGAATTACTTAACATGTTATAACAGAATAATAAAAAATGAATGATGCTGGTTGCTGAAGGCTGAAATCTCAGATTCGAGGAGCTAAAAAAATCTTACTCTCCAGGCTGTTGTTTGTTTTCTTAAAGAGCAAGTCACCCCCAAATCAACTTTTTTTTGCTGATAAACTACATAAATGTGTGTCTAATTGTGCTGTAGACACGTGTAGTCAATAGTTTGGTAATTCAGTGCATCTTAGTTAAAATTTAAATATTTTGCCTAACGGTCAGTGTTGCGCCGTCGTCAGGTAAAAACTCTGCACTGTGTTTGAATCTAAATCTGCCACCGCTATTGGCTAAGAGGTATGCTATGATGTAAACTGGTACATTATGATGTCACAATGCCGTTGTGAGCCTGTGTGTGTGTGTGTTTGTTAGCGGCTCCGCCCTCTTGGTCTGCTAAGCAACGGCATTTGTTGCATTTTTCAAACATGAAGAGGGAGTGAAGTAAATTTGTTTTAGGGGGTGACTTGCTCTTTAAGCACAAGCGTCATCTGGCATTAAAGATTTGTCACCAAAGCATGAACAATAAGGTGCTTTTCAAGACTTTTAATTACCTGCTCAAGGAGTTTTCTGTATCTCTGGGTGGCTTGCTGGATGAGGTCTCTCACAGTCCAACCTTCTTTGCAAGGGACAACCACACCAGTCTGTCCAAAGGTTACTGTCACCTTCATTGTGGCACACTCCTTTTCATCTAGGATGTAAACCCTCCAGGTAGAGCTGAAGAACTGTCACAATAATACAGGAATGCTCCAGGATATAAAGTGCAGCAGAAACTATTTAACAGGATGTGATCACTCAAAAAAAAAAAAGAGCAAGCGACCGGCTGCAGGTATAGAAATCACAAATCTCAGATTAACTTCTTTAAAATAATCCACAGCTCATATCCTTTTGGATCCACAGGAAGATAAATGATGTCCATCCTCTCCCATCTCAGCTCTGGAGATGATGCTGTTCAAGAACTAGGAGCAAAGTTGACTGAGGTGTTAAATAGTTGCAGTCTTTTCATGCTGGAGCCCCCACGTGACTTAAAAACGAGAAGTTTGTTGTTATTATTCCTCTTTTTTTTTAGCTATGATAAAAGATGCTAGCTCACTAGCTTTGCATTACAACCCGAGCCGAGACGAAAACTTTCCCTGTCAGATGATTAGACGAAGCAAACGCGTTTTCAACCACAACTAAACGCACTCTTACTCTTTTTGGTAAATAAATATTGTTTCACCTCGCATTTAATGAGCTTAGCCGATGCTAGCTAACGTTAGCCACCTTCGCTGAACTTTGGAGGGAGGGATGCAGTCGCTCAGGCATCTTTCCAGAAGTTTTCCTGTTTTCCTCTCGGGTTTTTTACATTCACTTCATCACCGATAAACACAGCGTGAGCGGGTTGTTTTTAAATTCAAAGATAAACTCCAAACGTGAGCCGAAAGTGTGGCAGAAATAAACCACTTGACTTTGTTGGGAAAGTTTTTGGAGAATTCCTTCACTCCCGTCCTTTCCTGACCCGTTCCTGACCAGATCCTCTGCTGTTGTCACGTTCTTAAAGGGGACGTGCTCCATTTACGCATCAGGAAAACGCGATTTAGTTTAGCAAGTTTAGTTATTGTGCAATAGGCTGAACTCAGACAGCATAACATTAATAAGGCGATTTCCATCAATGCTTCTTTTTTATGTGGTTTTTACAAACCCAGGTTATCTCATACTGTGTGACCAAGTCACAGCAAGTCACAAGTCACGTCTAAGTCTCGAGTCAAGTCAAAGACAACCAAGTCCAAGTCGAGTCCAAAGTCAATGATGTGGAAGTCAAGTCCAAGTCCTTAACTTTGAATTTTCAAGCATAGTCACGTCATCTGTCCAACTTCAGTTTAATGACAATGATAATAAATACATTCCAGAAATAAAGCTTCTTAAAGCTTAATCTATTTGCTCAAACAAGCAGAAAGTGCAACTGAAACTGATTCTAAACAAAGTGCTGCTGCTGCATTTAGCAGTACAAAATCAAACCCAGAACAAAGAATGGTTTATAATTTTTGTCCATGTCGTGTCACTTTTGTGCTAAAATGTCAAATATGCTCAAGTTGTTAATGACTCGAGTTACTGTAAGTCCAAGTCATCTGACTCGAGTCCACACCTCTGCTGTACACTAATTTTCATATCTGACCAAGACCTTGCAACCGGAAAAAATGAATGTTCTTTTTTATGCATTGCTTGTACAGTTCTCTTTCCTAACATTCGTTTCGATGTCTCACTATGGGGATACGCCCCTCCGCGGATTCCTCAGAAGCACTTATCTCAATACGCCAATCCTGATTGGCCAGTGACCGTGACGTACGCGTCCCCCTGCTACTATAAGTAGCAAGCGTCCCAACGCACGCACTATTCAATCACCTCTTCTCGCTTCGGTGGTCGCTTATCTCTGAGGTAAGTTAGCTCAACTGTTCACAGACGGAGCCTTCTAATATTCTCTCCGTCGCCGAACGTTAACTTACCGTCCTTCTGTCCTGACCTTCACCATAGGCTCGGGGCATAACGAGCAGCTTCACACTCCAGTGCATCTGTTCGTTCTATGCTAACACACCAGTTAGCCAACATGGAAGCCGCTCCTCCCACCAGAGGAGTCGACGGTGCAGGAGCTCGCCTCTGTACCTGTGGGAACAAAATCTCAAGCAAAGACCCGCACAGGGTCTGCTCGAGCTGCCTCGGGCTGGAACACGCCCAGCTGGCATTGGAAGTCCCCGGGTCATGTGAGAGCTGCGCTTGCTTCACCCTGAAGAGCCTTCGCCGGTGGCTAGCGCGCCAAGCTAGCCTGTCGGGGAAGGACCCTTGCCTGCCGGCCCCTGGGCCACCGCCTGGGGACGCCAGCGAACATGTCCTCCCGGAGCCGGAACCGTGTGCCGAACTCAGCTGGGGCTCACAGCTCGAACTGGCCGGTCCGAGCCTCCCCGCCGAGGATGTGTTGGAGTTGGACTACGGAGACGACGAGGACACCTCGGAACTCCTCATTTCAGAGGAGGACGAGGAGGACGACGTCTTTCTCCCCATCGCTCAGGCCTCCATGCCTAGCTTTCCGTCCTCTCCCAGGGATGGAGCGGTTTCTCCAGCCGCCCACCTGGACATGCAGTCAGTCTGCCGACGCGCTGCGACCAGGCTCAACATCCCTTGGCCCACCGTGGTCACTGAGGCTGTCAGATCCCGCTACAAGGGAAAGAAGCTGCCTCAGGCCACGAGGGTGGCAAAGCCCCTCCTCCCCGCCTTCCCGGAGCTACTCCAAGAAGTGGGGTCCTCCTGGGACAAACACCCGTTCAGCTCCAGGTCTCCTGTCCAAGGAGCCTCCTCGCTGGACTTCGAAGGGATGGAGACGGCTGGCATGCTTCGCATGCCGCCGATGGAACCGCTGGTTGCAGCCCACCTGCACCCACGGCTCTCGGCGACTTCCTCCAGGCCTCCCGCTCTCCCTGCGAAGGCGGACCGCTTCCAGTCGGCGCTGAACGAGAGGGCGTACAAGGCTGCCGCCATCTCGGTCCGAGCTTTGAATGTCTCCTCCATGCTCTCGGCGTACCAAGCCGAGCTCTGTGAGGACATGAATACGAAGCCGGACCCGGAGGTGCGGGAGGAAATCACCGTACTGACCGACATCTGCCTGCGTGTGCAGCGCTGCGCGGTCCATGCTACGGCTAAAGCTATGGGCATGATGGTGCTTCAAGAACGTGCACGATGGCTGAACCTCACCAACCTCTCTGAGAGAGAGAAGGAGGACATTTTGGACATGCCAATCGTGCCTGAAGGCATTTTCGGCTCTGCCCTGGCATCAATGCAGCAACGGTGTGCGGCTAAAAAGAAAGAGGATGAAGCCCTTCATCTCTGCCTTCCCCGTAAACCCTCACAGGCGCTGCCGGCTCGGCCGAACCTGCCTCAGGCAGCTGCCCGAGCCCAGCCTCAGTTCCGGATCCCAAAGCGCCCGAAGCCTCAAGCTGTCCAACCAGCTCCTTCGGGCTCAGAGCCTCGACCAGTTTGGCCTCAGGGATCCGGCAACCAAGCTGCTCCGCCACCGGGACAATCCACCAGACACGGCGGTCAGCAGGTGAGGAGGAAGAAGTGGGCAGCCTGTCGGAGTTCTTCCCTCCCGACGCTGCAGCTGGCGGTTCCCCGTTCGCCAGCTCCTCCTGTTGGATGTTGCCATGGTGCTTTCTCCCCCCCCTCACGGAACCCCTCCGGCAGAGTTCCCGAGCGGTCCAGGGTGGGGCCAGGACGTGCAGCCGGCGGTGCCGGCTCAAAGCACACGTCACAAGCACTCACATTGTTTTTCACAAACATGTCACGCTCAAGGAGCATTAAAAGGTTCGCTGTCGCATCCAGACAAGATGTCAAGGGCGCAGAAAAAATCAGTATAAATGTCACCCATGAGCGGTTCCAGGCGGGGGCGGCGCCACGGGTCGTCCCCGTAAGCCTGGGCCGTCAAAGCACAAAGCCCCCGCGCATGCGCAGTGGCTGCCACGAGCACCGCTGCCCCACAACCTCTGGAGGGAGCTGGTGCTCCGTGTGTCACGGCTGTGTCACCGCTCTCCACTCACAGGGAGGAATGGACAGCGGTTTCTGCTTCACGTTGGGTGCTGAGAACAATTTCGAGGGGTTACAGGCCCCAATTCGCTTCTGTTCCTCCTCGATTCTCCGGCGTAGTGTTCTCCCACGCCCAGGGGTCGTCAGCTCACATCCTTCAGGGAGAAATCTCCTCCCTGCTGGAGAAGGGAGCGATATGCATTGTGCCTCCCGATCGGTCTCAGAGCGGTTTCGACTCCAGGTACTTCCTGGTCCCGAAACGGGGAGGGACCGGGATTCGCCCGATCCTGGATCTGAGGGCCCTGAACCGATGCCTCAGAAAGTACAGATTCAAAATGCTCACGCTCTCATCCCTTTTGCGTCTGATTCACCAGAGCAACTGGCTCACCTCAATCGACCTGAGGGACGCATACTTTCATGTTCCCGTGTACCCTCCACACAGGACATTTCTGAGGTTTGCCTTTCAGGGAGTGTGTTACGAATACACCGTGCTCCCATTCGGCCTCTCGCTGAGCCCGAGGGTGTTTGTCAGGTGTACGGAGGCGGCGATCGCCCCTCTGAGAGGGAGGGGCATTCGGCTGGCCACGTATTTAGACGACTGGCTCCTGCTGGCACGGTCCAGAGAGGAGACAGCGTCAAACACGCTGGTTGTGATCCCTCCCTTGTGTGGTCTGGGTTTCAGAATAAACTGGCAGAAAAGCGCTTTCCTCCCCTCCCAAAAAATAACCTTTCTAGGTCTGAATCTGGACTCAGGTGCGTTCACGGCCCGTCTCTCGGCACCGCGCGTGAACGCGCTCTCGTTCTGCCTGGCGCGCTTCCGCCTACACAGTTCGGTGCGGTTTGCGTTATGCCTCAGGCTTTTGGGTCTCATGGCGTCGGCTATTTCAGTGGTACCACTCGGCCGTCTACACATGAGAGATTCTCAACGCTGGGTGGCTTCTCTGGGTCTCTCTCCAGTACGCCACAGAGCGCGCAGGGTGACGGTCTCTGCAGCGTGCGTCACGGCGCTCCGCTGTTGGCGTCACCCTTCCCTCTTGGCACAGGGGGTGCCTTTGGGGTTGGTTCTCGTGAGGAAAGTGGTCACGACAGATGCGAGCCTGTCAGGTTGGGGGGGGCTCCTGGAGGGTCGCTCTGTCAGGGGTGTGTGGAGCAGAGAGCTCTGGGGGACACACATAAATTATCTGGAACTCCTCACGGTCTTTCTAGCCCTGAGGCGCTTCCTGCCTTTTCTCTCCGGCCATCATGTCCTAGTGAGAACAGACAACACCTTGACTGTGGCTTATATAAACCACCAGGGGGGGCTGCGCTCCGTGCGGTTACACACGCTGGCACGCAGACTGATCCTATGGTGCAGCAGGCATCTCCTCTCAATCAGAGCCACCCATGTCCCGGGTGTTCTGAATCGGGGGGCGTATCTGTTGTCCAGAGGGACACCCCTGTACGGGGATTGGAGCCTGCATCTAGCAGTGTTGGAACAGATTTGGATCCGGTTCGGCACAGCCGTAGTGGATCTTTTTGCCTCCAAGGAGAATGCTCACTGTCCTCTGCGCGACCGAGACGCTCCACTCGGCGTGGACGCGCTGGCGCACGACTGGCCACGGGGACTGCTTTACGCTTTTCCCCCAGTGGCCCTGATACCACCCACCTTGCTGAGGGTACGAACCCAGCTCCACACTCTCATTCTGGTGGCCCCATACTGGCCAGCTATGCATTGGGTGGCGGACATTTTCCAACTCCTGGAGGGCCAACCTTGGAAACTTCCGCTTCGCAGGGACCTGGTGTCCCAAGCGGGAGGCTCGATCTTCCACCTTCATCCAGAACGGCTGGCCCTGTGGGCCTGGCCCCTGAGGGGTGCGGGCTAGTGTCAGCAGAGCTGCCCCAGGCGGTCATTCGAACCATTCAGAATGCTAGGGCCCCCTCCACTAGGTCCCTATATGACTGTAAATGGAGGGTGTTTGA